ATAGCTCATGACCGATTGGAATCTTATCAGAGGTCGTAAAAGGAAAATTATGCTCGAGATATTAAAATGAAGCATGACTTTCATTTCCATCGTATCTCGTTTTGAATTATTTTCGCTCGGTGCTGTTGAAAGTTCGCCACTCGACATGATGAAATTCCAACGCGGCCGCTGGAGCGTTAAAAAAAAACTGTTCTTTTCTGTTTGTGACTGCATAGATCGGATCCAACGGTATCGTTTCGACGCGAACCGGAAGTGTTCACGGAAGACGAGCTAAGACGAAGAGCCTGTCGTCGAAGAGAATATTTTCTTAAAGACGGTCCTCGCAACGCATCGGGGAGTATCGTAGCGCTTTCCCTCTGTCCCGCGCCCGAGGTATTCGATCCTGCTATTTCGATTAATCGTTACGAAGCATTTGTTGAATTCTTGTATAGTGTAGCCGTTACCGAAACGAGCGAGTTATTCCGTTATTCGTTCTATGAATAACCGAATTCTCCCGGGGAAACGTGACGGGAGGAGAAGTGTTCTCGAAATTCGGACGCAGAACGACGTCTTTCGAAAGGCATCGGGCGAAATCACAGAGACACCTGAAAATGGAAAAGCAAAAACCGATCGTTCCCTTTCACCGGTATTTCGGTGCGAAACGAAAGCAAAGAGAGAAGAAAAAATTCGAAACCAAAGAACGTCTGATTCCGTTTCAATTCCTTTTCGTTCTATTGTTACCTTCGTTAATGGACTGCGGATTATACGCATTTATAACGAGCACGAGAGTCGAAACAAAAGTATCGGTTTAACGGGAATTTCATTGGATATTTGTTCCTCGTTCGACGTCTAGAAACTTTTCACGGAAAAACCAAGTTTCCGGTTAATACTACGTTCTTCTTTTTCTGGAATAATTGTAAAAGATAAATATATACACGCACGAACACGCCGCAGTCTATTCGTTAACGTTCCATTTCGATGTCGAGCCTTCAATTGGTCAGTATTAAGTAAGATATAGGGATCCTAGATGTGTAGCCGAGCAGAGCGACATTCTTCTGCGTCCATATTCGCTAATCTCTAATTTGTTTCGCTAGCGTGCGCGCGTGCGCCCGCTCTTCTTATCGTTTACGAAATTCACGAAGTGGGAGCAATTAAGCGATACCGCGTGTAACTCTGTGATACCGTAAGCTATAAGGTAGAATTATTTTGCAACGATCAAAGTAAACAAAACGACAAAAAAAAAATGGAAAAAAGAATAGAGGTTGAGGGAGAAGATCGTGGAAGGAGGAGGTTGATTGGTCGGCGATCGTCGCGAAGAACGCTTCGCGTTCTCCGTCGATTTGTTTTTCCGAGGCTGGCGGAAGCGGGAAGTTCCCTCCTCGTCGAACGGGACGAGCGGGGCGGACCGGGGGTATCGAACGATTTTTTCTCCGACTTCCGGTCGGGTATCGAAGCTGGCCGTCGTTCGGGATTGGCACGAGTGAATGTAACAATGGTTTTCGACCGTATTCGGGAAATTGGCACGGGATTCAACGGCTCGCGAGCTTTCGTAGCAGGTTCAACGTTTGCCTCGTAGCAAAGGGAGTGTCTCCGCGATAACTCGACGATGCAACAGAGCCCGATACAAATTTTAGCGTTCCAAATGGAAAACGGAAATTGAACGAGCGAAGTACGGAGATGATGGAGAAGGAAGGGAGGAACTCGCGAAAGAGCGCGCGATGAACTCGTTAGAGATGTGCGGGTAACCCGGGATCACGGGTTTCGGTGGGATCAGGAAAAGTCGAAGGAAATCTGTGCGAATTTAGCTTCCCGCGTACAAATCACGTTTGGAATCAACTTTGTTAGACGAAAGAGTAACCGGTTAATGTGATAGATTTGTGAAACGGAGTGGGAATTACAGTACTTGATTGATAAAATCATTTTACCTCTTCCTCCGAACATTAGAACATCTGATATTCGATTTTAATATTCGTTTCGCGTAGTATCTCCGGAATTTGTCTACTCCGACGAAGCCCGTGCACTCGATGCGATGGGTTGCCCGCACACCCCTGCTAGTAATGCGAAAAAGATTGCCGTTACACGTAAGACTGCTTTAGAGACACTGAAGAGTAAATTTAACAGTAAAAGGAAAAAACGGAAGGAAAAAGGGGAAAAAAATTGAATTACCGATCGAATTAGTTACTGTGGTGCTGGACGGGACGTCGGGTTCGACGAGGTTTAATGGGGGTTGTTTCTAGAAGGAACCCCCGTAGGAGCTCGTTCCGACGTGCCGTCGGATGATTTGTACTGACGAAAGAAAGAAATTAAAAATGGTGTTACTAGAGTTTAGCGATTGACGAGATAATACGATCTATTTATTACGGCGGCCTCGGACCGCGGAGTAAACGTGAACCGGGCGCACGCCCCTCCTGATTTCCTAGCTTTTTACGTGTAGCATTTTATCTTGTTGATCTTTACAGCAGTTCGTTGTGCAGTTTGTTATCTTTTTTAAACGATGATGAATTATGAAAAGCTTTGGAATAGACGGTTCTCACGTGGTCGGTCTTCGTTTTCGCCCGGCCCGGTCCACATTCACTCCACGGTCGCAATGTTCGCGCGATTACAAAGCTATATATATATATAAATATTATATGAAATATATTATATAAATAAATATATATATATATACACACTTAAACACATATATGTATATTTATTATTCGGCGACTTGACTATTTTTTGTATTACTATTTCAAGTACTTTTACGATTATTCGTTGTACCTCGTCCGGGACATTTTGAGCTGATTTTTAGCGTGTGGCTGAGGGGAGAAGGGCTGAAAGCTTTGTTTCGCTTGCAGGGGAACATATTCAGTTTAAATACGTTAACACTAGAATTATCGGACTAATTGAAATTATCAGATTCTTATTTTATCACTTGTCTAGAGTGGTACGTTCATAGGTAATTACTGAACAAGATGATTCGTTCGTGTGCTATACCGACAATTCGCAAGATATTCGCTCCCGTAATTTTGAGAGATGAAAAACGATACTTGTAGTGTTAATGTCAGATTTTTAGATAAATATCTTTTCGATGTAGTTTCTTTTGAGAACCCTTGTTCCTAAAGTTGAATGCGTATCGCCTATTAGAGCCCTTTCCCCTCATCCATGACGGTTGAATGTCACTGCCAAAATCCCCCAGGATTACACGAAACAAAAATATGGTGGCGCGCGTGGTCGAGGTACTCGACAGCCGGCTGACGCCATTTTTTTTCGGGGCAGCCGGTTCTTATTCCGCCGCCGCCGAGCTCCTATCATCTCCTGTTTGTATTTCGCGAACTTGCGTATTTATTTCTCCGTTTGTAATTCGTTTCCCCCTTTTCACGTCTCATTCTCTTCTTTCTTTTCTTTTCTTTTCTCTCTTTCCCTTTCTTTTCTTTTTTTTTAAAATATACGAACAGCGGCTATCGTTGTCGAGAGGAGAAACCGTGCCGCAGCTCGCTTTTTCCTTCAATTTTCGAAGTATCGAAATGCTTCTGTACAGAAGCCACGGCGAAATACATAATTAGGGACGCGACACGCCCGTTCGAATGTCCCGCGGATTCATTCACGGAATCCGAGGCGAGAATTTTGTTTTCGTTGAATGGAAACGTTCGCTGAAACGATGCGAGACACCACGGCGGGTGCACATTCCACGAGATCTTCACTATACATACTTGAAGTAAAGTAAATCTGTTAGCGTTTGATAAGACGATTTCACAACGCGATGATAATAAATGAATAATATATCTAAAGTTTGGAAGCTTACAATAGACTCGGTTTATCTATATTATGTATCGTGATTTTTATGTCATGTTCAATAAATGAGTTTTAAACTAACCATCTGTCTTCCAGAATTCAATTGAACGATCCCTTAACCAAACGTAGATATAATTCTAATTAAAATAACAAAGTAATACAGGAAAAACACGCTGTAATCATTTTTGTATGTCTTTGAATTCAATAAAACTGAACTTTTTAAGTAATTACAAATATTTCTAGAGTTCACGAATTTAGGTCACAATATTGCCGGTACTTCAACAATTTTTCATTCCTTTGAAAGCTCAATCCACAAGCCTACATTGTATCCTTCACGTTAACCGCTGGCACGAGCCTTAAGAAAATAATACACTTCATTGAACTCGCTAAACGCAGTAAATGCCTATCCATTCATGTTAAGAACAATCCCGACGCTGTTCAAGTTTCGCGGGTACTTGTCAAGTGTGATAACGATGATTGATTACAGGTCAGTGAAAACTCCGCTAAACAGCCCGACGAAGTTATTCCCGTTTCCCATTCACGGTTCCAGTACAGTTTCGTCGGTCTCCGTCCTTAGCTTACTTTCGTCGATGGTGCATGATCTCAAGGCTCAGCCTGCGGAATATTCAACTACTAATTCTCCCGTAATGAGTCACGCGAACGGTTCTAAAATTACTGCGGATGATCGTTAAAACCGTCGGGTGACACGCGAAAAACAGCGTACGAAGCGGCGTCGAACCGTGTCATGATTCAACTAACCGGCCCGACGCATCGGATCCGCTGTCGGTATTACGAGACAATAAACGCGACGAGCTCGATTATCAATAGGATCGGATAATTCCGACGAATACGAGTCGCAATAAGTAAAGCCGTCGATGTCGTTTCCCGATGGTTCGCTTATAGGATGCTCGCAAGCTCTTGGAACCAACTACTCCAATCGATATCTCCAGCCGACTATGCGAGAAATAAAAGAACGTCTCGGCTAGAGTTCATTAAACCCGGGCTACGATGCAACCACCTTTCCTGCCGGCTATAAAAAGTTCGCGTGAACCGCTCACGTGATCCGATCGCGGGCTCATTTATTTTTCCGTAGCGGCAGAAAAGCGTTTTCTTCGTGTGCACGCCGCTTATATATACCAGCGTATTACGCGAATTATGTATCAACGATCGGCGCTCGCGACTGTCGGGAATACACGAACGCGGATATAATCGTTGGTCAGCCGATATCCGGTCATTCTTAATGCCACTCCTTTCTTCGGTCTCTAATAGATATTATTTTCTTCAATTTTTATTTTAATAGTAGATTCACGGACATTTATTACAGCTTATTGCATTGTTCCTGGAAAAATTGATACCAGTTCAATCGAATCGTTGAAATTAGGTTTATAAAATCCAGTATGCGCTAAATTATTACGTTCCGTGAACCTGATATCAAATATCAACCCCTTAAAGACAAATGCCATTTCAGCAACCTGAAAGTTTCATATTTCGAGCACAAAATTGCGAACGAATAATTGAATTATTCAAAGGATGGATCCATATTTCCTTTTTCCCTAATACTTAGGAGTTCGACGTGTAATTGAGCTTCCCTAAAGGTTTCGAACACTTTAAGAATTCTCATCAGCAAAAGGTTAAACATTGTAAATGTTTGACATAGATCTGGTTTCCAATTACTGGTAACACAATGCGAAGAGTTAAAGCACGAAGTAATAGAAATATTCATCCCCTAAAGATAGCGAGCCGACCCTCGCTCGGAGGGGCTGACACAAGTTATCGATTGAAGAACGCATCGGGTATACGGTGAAACGTCGCGGTATGCAACGAGTGTTCTTCGAGAATCGACCACCTGAGAGTTCCGCGCAGACCTTCCAGAACTTTCGACGTATCGCCGCGCCGTGGGTCGGCTCATATTCATCGCACGCGGCTCCGCGGAAAAAGAACGGGCTTACCGCGGTCCGTATAGTGATCGCCAACGTCGCGATCATTATTCCGCTGTCACGACCGACGAACAAGCGGTTTCACGAAACCGACGAAATTTCATCGCGCGTTCGTACCGTTGAAACGCGGTCGCGCCTTTATCGATCGCTCTCAGCGAAGATAAGGCGAGAGCCACGTACGTTACGCGACGACGGGAGATCCGAACGTAATAATCGACGCGCACAACGGCCGCTATCCGCCGGAAACGCTGAATCCGAGGCTCGCGTTATCTGGGCCGCGGGACTAATCAGTGCTTTATCGAATAAAATGCAGGCTCAACGGGATTTAGATAACAAAAGAAAACACGCCGGGAGAATGAACGCGCTGGGAAAATGAAATTCCGCGGCTCTCGATTCGCCGGATTAACGGCGAGACTGCGATGGAACTTCTGAAGTTGCGTCAGACGGTCGGCACCGATTACGGTGGATCACGGTGGAATTTCATAATGGTATCGCCGCGCGATAGAGATCCCGATCGCGCGGCTAACGGGCCG